CCTAGCTGGAGATTTCAACTCCTCTTGAGCAAGGAAATGCTGCTTCAACTTGCCTCCCTAGCCACACACACACCCCTCCCCCAGTTCTCTCTTCTTAGGATGGCAACACCCAGCATGTCAGTCTATGGCTTTTCCTCCATTCTGACACACGTGGTGACTCATGGGTGCTGCAAAACTCTCCACTTCTCCCTGCTTCCCCCATCCAACCATGCGGGAGGGGTGGGGTGGTGAGGGGGTGTTAACACTGCCCGCTTAGCCCTCACCCTCCATAGGGGCACCCAGCCCCTTCCTGTCTCTAGGCTTGCAAGCCATAGGAACCAGCCATTGCTTCTTCTTATCTGAAAACCCCAGCATGCTTCCACCTACAGTCCCTGACTATATCAATGCAAGTGCCGAAGTCTCAGCCCTTGTAACAAGTCAAGTCTGTCTCTACCCACTCCTGATCTTGTTGACTTGTGACTATTTCTTACAGCACCTTCACACCTCTCTCACTCTGGAGTTACTTTTTTTTTTTATTTAATAGTGATTCTATTTTCACAGAATTACAAACTGCTTTGTAGTCTCCTCTGCCAAAGAGCCTTCAGCCACACCTTTTTCAGTTACCCTTCTCACTCTGGGAGCCACACCTGAAGACAGATTCAAAGTTCCCCTTCCCTGAACAATGCCTCTTCCGCAGCAGGCTTCCTCCACCCAACTGCAAAGCAGCTTTCAACCAAAGGGACAATGAAATAAAATGAAATAAAATAAAATAAAATAAAATAAAATAAGATAAACTGAGCAAACTGGCTTCCAGATGCACCTTCCCTTTACAGGAAAACTCTTACCAAATGCCTACACTGTCTGCAGGGATCTGGGTGTCACTATTTTGCATCTCTGAATGGTTAAATGTACCTGGGTGATTTCAGTGTGTGGTTATTTTATGTATATGATGGCGCTATTTGTCATCTGTGCTCATGTTATTTGTGCTCTTGTGAGATTTTTTTTTTCTATCAAAAGTAGCTAGTCCACTAAGGCCCAGTATTCCATAACCAACCCCATCTTCCTTCACCTAAAGTTAAAATATTTAATCTTCCTCACGATGGTGGTTTGAAAGAAAATGGCCCCCAAAGGGAGTGGCACTATTAGGAGGTGTGGCCTTATTGAAGTAGATGTGGCTTTGTTGGAGGAGATGTGTCACTGTGGAGGGTGGGCTTTG